CGGGCGGGAATGCTGCTCCCTGGAGGAAGTGTGCACACGATGCTGGAGAAAAAAAATACAAATGAAAGATCAGCATCTACCGGGAAGTTTGGAATTGGAACAGACACATGAGGAGCTCTGGGGCTCTCGGTGTGCTGAGCGCAGCCATCCAGCGCTGGAGCACAGGGCCCCAGTGCTACCAGTGTCTCTGTTACAGCCCTTTTCACTTGATTCTGGACAGAAAGGAAAGGTGACATCAGCTTTCCCACGTGTGGAAGTGCAGGAATATCCAGGGAATGTGATGCCTGGAAACGGACAAACTATTTAATGATTTTGTCTTGGATCCTCACAGCTGCAGCATTAGAGATATGTTATTCTGTAGGCACCTTCTCGAAAGTGACCTCACAAGTGTAATGCACAGGAGGAGAGAGCACTTGGGTGGCATCCCAGGAGCCACTGTCATTTCAGAAAACCCAGGCATAAGTTTAAACCTCCTGTGGCAGGATGGTCCTGGTGACACATCACACGTGAGGGGATTGTAGTATGAATGTCCCAAAATCTGGGAAGGTTTTGGCAGTACCTGGGAGGTGTAAGAAGAGGCACCTCCTCTGGAGTGTTGGTAGGTAGGTGAAGCACTGAAAGCACTTGACTGGTTCCCTTCCAAGAGCCTGAGCAACATGGACAGAGCAAGCCTGTGCGAGCTATTCAGAACAGGAGATTTAAAACAAAAAGCCTGGCTGCAAAGAAGGTGAACAGCAAAGTATTATAGTGTTTTTATAAGTAATAAATATATTAGCTTGATAAATCATTTAAAAAGCATTATGACTATTTTTAAGGGTCAGGAAAAGGATCTCTACCAAGTGTAAAGGTGTGATTTGATGTAGATTTTTGCAGCAGAGCTTGTAGGAATGATGCCATTTGCTGTGGGTGAACAATTCTGGCTCAGCTCAGGGCTCTTTACAGTTTCCATGTTGTACACTGGCTTTATTCTTCATGGTCCCTCACAAGTAATGAATGCAAAATGCTGCTCAAATAGATGAGTTGAATCTTTTCCCTTGTGGAAAATCAGAACTGCCCCCATGTATTCCTGCTTTGTTCCAGGTTTCTGGCCCGGGATCATCCGCCGGTCAGCTCCCGCCAGGCACAGCCCTGCTGCCATGTCGAAGCTGAAGAGCTCCGAGTCCGTGAGGGTGGTGGTGCGATGCCGGCCGATGAACAGCAAGGAGAAGACAGCCTCATATGAAAGAGTTGTTAACGTGGATGTCAAGCTAGGGCAGGTCTCGGTGAAGAATCCACGAGGAACATCTCATGAACTGCCTAAAACCTTCACCTTTGATGCTGTGTATGACTGGAATTCCAAACAGGTCGAGCTCTACGATGAGACCTTCAGACCTCTGGTGGACTCTGTCCTGCAAGGGTTTAATGGGACAATCTTTGCCTATGGGCAGACTGGGACAGGGAAAACATACACGATGGAAGGGGTGCGGGGTGATCCTGAAAAAAGAGGGGTCATTCCCAACTCATTCGATCACATCTTCACCCACATCTCTAGATCCCAAAATCAGCAATACCTGGTGAGAGCGTCTTACTTGGAAATCTACCAGGAAGAAATCAGAGACTTGTTATCAAAGGATCAGTCCAAGCGGCTGGAGCTGAAGGAGCGGCCAGACACGGGGGTGTACGTCAAGGACCTGTCCTCCTTTGTTACGAAAAGCGTCAAAGAGATCGAGCACGTGATGAATGTGGGGAACCAGAACCGCTCCGTGGGAGCCACCAACATGAACGAGCACAGCTCCCGCTCTCACGCCATCTTCGTCATCACCATCGAGTGCAGCGAGCTGGGACTTGATGGCGAGAACCACATCCGTGTGGGGAAGCTCAACCTGGTCGACCTCGCGGGCAGCGAGCGGCAGGCGAAGACCGGAGCGCAGGGGGAAAGGTTGAAGGAAGCCACCAAAATCAACCTCTCTCTCTCAGCTTTGGGCAACGTTATCTCTGCCCTAGTAGATGGCAAAAGCACACACATTCCGTACCGGGACTCAAAGCTGACGAGGTTGCTTCAAGACTCCTTAGGTGGCAATGCCAAAACGGTGATGGTGGCCAATATAGGCCCTGCCTCTTACAATGTAGAGGAGACTCTGACGACACTGAGGTATGCCAATCGTGCCAAGAACATCAAGAACAAGCCACGAGTGAACGAGGATCCAAAGGATGCTCTGCTGCGAGAGTTCCAGGAAGAGATCGCTCGACTCAAGGCACAGTTGGAAAAACGGTCTATTGGCAAAAGAAAGAGGAGGGAGAGGAGGAGAGAAGGTGGGGAAGAGGAGGAGGACACCGAAGAGGGTGAAGATGAAGGAGATGACAAAGATGACTATTGGAGGGAGCAACAAGAAAAGCTGGAGATTGAGAAGAAAGCCATAGTTGAGGATCACAGCTTGGTGGCAGAGGAGAAGATGAGACTGCTGAAAGAGAAGGAGAAGAAAATGGAGGACCTGAGGCGAGAGAAGGAAGCCACAGAAATGCTGAGTGCTAAAATCAAGGTAGAGTTCTCCCTTGTCACGCTTGCTGAAAGCCGTTTGTTTAGGCTGTGGGGAGAACAGAGGGTTTCCCAATTTGGAAAGATATTTCCCAAGTTTCCAGGACAGGGATTTGTGTCTAGATTGGAAGGTTTTAAAACAAACTATTTCTAGACAGAAATTGAAAGTTCCACCATTAATTACACATTTCCATATTCATGAGTCATTTCATTGTTCTTCTGTGCTGATGTGGTAGGATCTCAAGCAGTCAGCAGAGTGGAACGAGATGATGCATCTTTGCACAAGCTGTAGCACAAAAAATGCTTCAGTGTCACAGATCATTAACAAGTTCTTCAGGGGAGAGCACAGGGTTTGGTTCTCCAGCCTCTGCTTTGCCACACGTTGCAGCAGTGCTTAATTCCGAGCAGTCACAGATTCATTAATCCCAGTTTGCTGGGAATTTTAAGCAATAGTGGTTGTTGTAGCAGCTGCCTTGAAAGAGAACGTTAAAGGAGGGAGCTGCCCTGAGGAGCAGGTTACATTCTGTGGTCATGGACAGCAGCCTCTGACCTCAGTTCTCCCTTTCAGGCCATGGAAAGCAAGCTTCTGGTGGGAGGGAAAAACATTGTGGATCACACAAATGAACAACAGAAAATCCTGGAGCAGAAACGACAGGAAATTGCAGAACAGGTACGAGGAAGAACATTTGTTGCTTTGTATTAAAATCCCTGGACAGAAATTCTGTAAAACGTTGTGTCAGGAGAAATGATAAGAACATTTTCCCAGGGTGAACCCTAAAATTGATTCAATGGCAATAGTTTATCTCCAAAGAAGGGGGAAGGGCTCGTGTCCCCTTTGTCACTGTGTGAGAAGAAAGATTATAATAGTTTTCTTATATGTACAATGACCAGTACAAATGGATAAAAATAAGAAAAGAATCTAAATGTGTCTAAATGTGATGTTTGATTCCTTTCACTGAAGCTTGAGCACTTATTCACCTGATTTTAGTAGCAAAATAAGGACAAAGGAGAGTTAATGCTGCTGCTATTTCTAAGGGAAGAGACAGGAAGAACCAGAAGCTAAAGCAAAAGCCCTAGAACCCAGGGAAGTAAAACCATCCTGAGTGCTGGTTTCATGTATGTCCCCCAGAGGTGGCAGTGTGATTGTGGTGTTTAATGCTGGCTGTCATGTTCTTCAGAAACGTCGGGAGCGAGAAATCCAGCAGCAGATGGAAAGTCGGGATGAGGAAACACTGGAGCTGAAGGAGACCTATAGTTCTCTTCAGCAAGAGGTGGACATAAAGACCAAAAAGCTCAAAAAGGTAAAAGGAAATGATTCCCTGTCTAGTGGGTCAGGACTAAAGTCAGCTTGTGTGTGAAAGTTCTGACTTTGGCTGTTGTTGTCCATTGCAGTTGTTTTCCAAGCTGCAAGCTGTGAAGGCAGAGATCCACGATCTCCAAGAAGAGCACATCAAGGAGCGCCAGGAACTGGAACAGACCCAGAATGAACTTACCAGGGAACTGAAGCTAAAGTAAGTGCCGCCACGTCGTTGCCTGCTGTTACCTGTAACAGAGGTGGTTTCTTTGGGTGGGCAGTGGAGGAACTGCATTGCACATGCTGTGGAACAAGATTTAAATGAGAGAAACCCAAACCATTCCTCCTTTCCCAGGGCTGTATTGAGTCAGGGGGAGAGGAGCAGCAGAGACACTCATCTGCTAATTGTTTCTTGTGTACTACTTGTTTTTGTGGTGGCGTGTAGGCACCTCATTATTGAAAATTTCATTCCTCTGGAAGAAAAGAATAAGATCATGAACAGATCATTCTTTGATGAAGAGGAAGACCAGTGGAAACTGCATCCCATAACCCGGCTGGAGTGAGTGCACTTCTCATCTTGTCTTGGGATGGAATTATAGGCCATAGAAAAGCCTCTATCCATCAAAAGCAATGTAGTCCAGAAGAGGGATCAAACTGGGGATTTAAACTGGCCCTCTGGAGTTCATGGCAGTAAATTCCCATCACATTTCTTTCCTGGTTTGGACGGGAAAGCTCTCAAAAATAATCATAATTATAGTGATGAGAGCTGTGGCTACTTCCTGCCTCTCTGCACAGCAAGTTCTCCACAGCAAATTTAGAAAGCTGGGTGCAGCTGAGTGCACCTGCAGTCTGTGTAGTAAAAATACACAGAAATCCCGGGAGCAGATTACACAGGATGAGTACCTGACCTTGTTCTCTCTGTAGAGCTGTGCCCGCTAGTGCAGCCCAGGTCGTTTCTGCTCTTGAACCATATTTTTGTGTGGAATTTGCAAATGTTTTAGATCATAATCTCCAAGAGGAGCCTTTGGCTTTAGTGTATAATAGACTGAGTATCTATTTTTCTCTAGTAACCAGCAGATGATGAAAAGACCAGTATCTGCTGTAGGATACAAAAGGCCACTGAGCCAGTACGCCAGGACATCCATGATGATTCGTCCCGAGGCGCGGTACAGGGTAAGCCCAGATGTGGTCACAAGCTTCTTGTGTTCACCTTCCTCATCAGGGGAATGGGAATGTCAGAGGATTGTTAGTTCTTATGTGGGATGTACATTTGTACAGTGTTAAAGTACTTCAGGATAAGCTTCTGGGGGAAAAAAGAAACAACTTGTATGAAAACATGCAGACTTTGTGCTTTCACTGTCGCAGGCAGAGAACATCGTGTTGCTGGAACTGGACATGCCCAACCGGACGACGAGAGACTACGAAGGGCCAGCCATCGCTCCCAAAGTTCAGGCAGCTCTGGAAGCAGCTCTGCAGGATGAAGATGAGCTACAGGTGGATGCTTCAACCTTTGAGAGCACTTCCAATAAGAAATCAAAGCCCAGGTGAGTTGGACTCTCACAAGCCCACTGGCCAGGAGCAGAACACAGGTACGGTTGCTGGTTGTCAGCACTGCTCATCAGTGAAGTGAAGGTTCAGCTGTAGAGCAGAGAGAAAGGGATGCAGGACAGAAGAGAAAGCTGAGGCTGATGAGAGAATAAAGCCAGTTTAAAAAAAAATCAGCTTTTGGAATATTTTGACAAGTAACAGGTGACATTATTGGGGTTTTTGCTTATTTTTTCATTTTTATGTCTTCAGGCCTAAAACTGGAAGGAAATCGGGGGGCCCCTCATCAGCAGGTGCCCCCAGTTCTCAGCTCTACCCACAGTCCCGGGGGCTGGTTCCCAAGTAAAACCAGCAGTTCCTCTCCAGGGCATGAACTGCCTTTGCCTTCTGAGAGCAGAGCTAAGTACAAACTGCAGAGAACTCCCAGGCAGCCTCCAGCCCCCTCCCCTGGAGATGGCCTCTGCTGCTGAACTGACTTGTGCCAGTCCAGGGGCGCTGAGCCTCGCAGGAAGATCTGTGCTTGCAATGTGGCTTTTGGCCTCTGTGGGAAACAGACTTTAGTTAGGAAATCAGAACTGCATGAGGTACGTTAAAGTGTATTAGAAGCAATGGGAAGCATGTGGATCACCTCACAGCATCACCATCTCTCCTCCTGCACTAGCCCTCTTGCTGCACTGGGCTTTTTTGCTGTTGGGCAATAAGAAGAGCTGAAAGTCATCTCAACAGAAGCACCAGAGCTCCGTAGTGAGAACCAAAGGAGGCTAAAAAGCAGATCATCTGTTCAAACTTGACTAGGTGCTTAGTTTTTCCATCTTCCTGCTTGAAAGACTGGCAGCAGCAGCAGGTCTGGCCAGGCGGGAGGGCAGCGCTCAGCCTGTGCTCACCACCAGGTGGCTGTGCCTCCCTTAGAGCTCTAGGACAAAAAAGGGGTCTTGAAAGCACCTTTGTGCTCTCTAGGAGGGAAGCAGGAGAAACTGAAGTCCCTTCCTTGTTTACAGACATCACTAAGAGCTCCTCTAAACTGACGTCCTGCAGACCTCACCCCTGCCGACAGGAATCGCCTTGTCAGAGAATACATCCACACACCAGTGCCAGCTTCGCAGCCCTTCCTCTCTCTTGCCTCCATCCGTACCCCTGGCATTTGAAACCCGTGTCCATATGAAGCCTCTAAGCTGTGGGGTGGCAAACAGCCATTTTCTCACATCTCCCACATGAAATATCTCTTCATGGGAAATGTAGCATTGGCTCAGAGCTGGCTTCCCAGCAGGCTCGTGGAGCTGCCCCTGCTCTTCCCAGTGAGCTGGGCAGAGCGCCGAAATGCAGGGCTGCCTTTGAGCGCCCTCTCCTTGTAAGTACAGTCCCTTCTCTTGGTGCCCAAGGAGGTTCCGCATTCGGTACCTCTTGTGCCTCGCCTGTTCCACGTTAGCAGCTTTGCCTTTGCACCTCCCAGACCATGCAGAGCCCACTGGGAGCAAAAGCACAAGTCTGGGTACTGGAATCTGGTGCCAGTTCCAGGGGTTTTACTTTGGAAACAAGGGAGAGAGAACTCCTGCTTTTGACGGTCTCTTTGCAAAGCTGCCCTATGACTAAAGCAGGCTCCTGTGGTGCTGCAAGCTCGTGTGGCAGGGTCGAGGGAGGTGCAGAGTCCCTGTCTAGTGTCTCACAGCTCATGTGTAAGTTTTAGTTCACTGTATATTGCGACTTGGGATGTTGCTTTTTCTGGTTGCTGTTGACTGTCATTCTACGAACGTGTTTACCCGTTTCCTCTCCCTGAGTGATGACTTCCTCCAGACTGACACATGCGAGTGCACTTGCCTGGTTTTAGACACGCTCTGAGGTGTGGGCTCTGCCTCGTGTGCTGAGTGTCTGCTGAGCTGCTTCGCTCAGGCTGCAGAGCCCCAGGGACAGAAGGAGCGAACGCGCGGCACAGCTCACCTCGCATCCTGCGGGCACGGTGCCTCGGTGAGCTGCCCCCTGGAACACACTGCCTGGATTCGTGGAGTGCTTTTCTGCACCTCGAGATTAATATGTATATTAGTTCTGGTGGAGGAAAGAGGAGTTTGCTTGTAATTGTGAGAGCAGGCATCTGACAAATGTCTTTCAACATGGAAACCTGACATAATCTTCCTTTTTATAAAGCACTGTTTATGAACAGAGCCTTTTATTTGGCTCTTGTTGCATAATATAATGTCACCTTCTTTTCCCTCTCCTCCCTCTTTCTCTCCAGCACATCACCTTCTGTGCTTGGACATTTTAAAAGATGATTGTATGGTGTAAGTGCTCAGAGGATGAAACAAAAGGGGGTCTAAAATGTGAAAGAGCAACAGAATACATAACCACGTATACGTACATACCTGTGTACGCCTATGTTTTGTGTGACTCGTGGATACACAAAGCCACGTCTGTGGCTGCACATGCGCACACTCTTCCTCAGCTGCTACTTTTCCATGGGGAATTCTGTATTCAACTCACATGCTGGAAAGTCCCCTCGTGGCAGGGCCGGGTCAGTGGAAGTGGCAGTGCAAACCCCACTGTTCTGTTGTAGTGTTTAAGCTAGCTGGTTGGTACGTCAGACAGGTTCTGCTTTTAATTCTGTAGCAATTCATTAGCAAGGTGAAAGAAATTCAGTAGGGTGGGAAAAGAATAAGCCTGCATATTTAGTCATTGTATTTAAATTGGGGCTGGGGTTGGAGATTTGGTTAGTGTGGTCATGGGCAGATCCTCACGCAAGCTTTTCCTCTCATTCTGATGGACTTGCCCTCAACCTTTTCTGTGTAGGTGCCCTCAGTGGCACTGACACCGAAATAGAGACATTGCCTTAAGCTGTGGGGAACATGCTGAGCTCTGGGTTGAAGTTTTTAAGCAGCATTCCTGAGCGTTTGCCCCTCTCCGGGTGTTATCTGAACCATCTGGGCTTCCTGCAGCTTAACGGCCAAAGGCAGGAAATCAGCTGCCTCCTGGAAGAGGCCCTCGGACACTCTGCGCCCTCCATTTCTTCATAGGAATGTTTCACATCCTCCTCTTTGCTCTCATCTGTGGAATGGGATCTTTTTTAAACAGCAGCACGGAGGAGTCAGCCTGTGGCTCTGGGCACAGGCACCACGTCACGCTGAGGCATAGGAATTAAAGCACTTTCTTAAAGTCCTTCATGTAGCTGTAAAGCCTTTTTAAAACACATGCATGCTGCTCGAACCCTCTAAAGCACACACGTCCGTCCAGCAGCTCGGGCTGGCAGCTCAGAGCTGTGCTCAGTGGGGGTTTAGGTGTCAGTCTGCCTTTGCTGAGCACAGAGTGCTGCAGGGCTTCAGAGAGACACCTGCAAACCTGGATCCGTCCTCTCCTCGGTCTGTGTAAGGCTTTCAATGGCTCCGAACGACTCCTGGGGCTGTTTCTGCTGTGTTCAAGCACGAATTGGAAAAGATAACCTGCAAACGCTGTGATTAGATGTGGAAATGGAACTGAAATGAGAACACGGGGCGTGCCTGTGCTGTGCCTGTGGACCGGGTGCCGTCTTCAGCCCCTCTCAGCCTGAAGCAGGAGCCGCAGGCAGTGTCCGTGTGGGAACTCCCAGCTCCCTGGAGATCCGCCCATCTCCGCCTCCTTTAGGTGATCTGTAGACAACCTGTCAATAGTTCTGTCCATAGTTTTACAGCTTGTATTTATTTGTATCATCTCTTTTGTCTAGGAATGTAAAGTGCGCCTAAGATACAACGTGTAATAAAAGTCAATGAGATTTATCGCATCTATCAAAACGCGGCAGTTGTTCTTGGTTTCGGAGTACCGGCACAGCTCGGTGACTTCACGGTGCACAAAGCCTGGGGTCTTGCTTCCAAAAAACCAGTCTTTGGCCAACCTAAATTGTTATTAAGTGGCGCTGGAAGCACTCGCCGCAACCGGC